GTAATGTAGAATCTCCTAAGATATGCATATTACAGAACAGCGTGATAACTAGCTAGCTCATCCATTGCACTATGTTCAGATACTTGCCATCTGTCTATTTATCCGTGGTCTTGCTACACAGTGGGCGCATCTACACGTTCATTAACGCACTTGTACTAATGTGAATTAAGTTTAGTACCACCATTGTGAGGCAAATTAGCCTATTTTAATGCGCATTAACAAAAATGTGTGAGTTTTTTGTTGCATTTAATGCTTATTAAAATAGATGAATGCATATGAAAGTGCATGTTCAGATACAGCATGTTGCTTTCGATTTCCAGAAGATCTTTGATGAGGGGTAGTACTGAAGGATGTGAACCTTTGATCAGAATCTCTCCCCTTTTCTCTGATTTTAGACATGGCAAACAAAACCAAACTTGGTAGTATTGTGTGTGTGCTTGGAGGGAAGCATATGCTCTACAATAAACATGACTTGTTTTGAGTTTTCAGACTGAACACCTAACAAGTCGCAAAGTAGTATTAGAAAAATAAATGTCTGTTAGCACAGGAAAGAACATTCCCAGGAGTAGGATCCAGATGACAGAACTTCTATGAGAGAAGAATAATGCCAGAACTAATAACCCATTTTAGGACTCAATGAAAATAAAGATAGTTTCTTCACAAACAGACAGGCACTTACAGAAAAAACCCACCATATATTCATTCTTCATTTCATGTCCTACTTTTCTTCAAGGAGTTTGCCTGTTGCTTGTATGCCTGGATTTTCACACACTTTTCTACAGCTCTGTCTCAGCTTGCAGATGTTACTTGGCTCCCAAACTTCATTGCATCCTGTCTACTTCTCTCTGCAGGCACATCCTATCCAAGTTAACAGGTATCTTTCTCTATGTCCCCAGGACTTTTCCCTGCCTCTGGTGGTTGCAGTTTGTGAAAACAGTTCCCATTTCCTCACTTGTCTCTCTACAGCACAAATCCCATAGAGGCAGCTAAGTTCCTCCACATTTCAACTTCTTTACAGTAAAGTGTTGGGATTTCTGCAGAAGTAGCTAAGGACAAAACAAGAGATGCACCAAGTAACCTGCTAGCTCTTTAAAAAAAAACTATTGACAGGCATCTTTTACCTCATCTTTATGCTCAAGAGTGAGATGCGTTCTAGCACCAAAATTTCACAGCGATCTACCAACACCTGTCCATGTAAACTTAAAATAAAATATTCAGATATTTATAGAAAATGCAGTTGTTTATCAAAAACTTAAGTGAAAACAACCTATAAGACACAAAGCACAGCAATATCTAACAAACACTCAGGTTAAAGATAAGGACTCAAGTAATTACACTACACAATCTACAACATAGGAAAAAATCCTTTCCATGATCAGATGGAAACTATCAGCCAAGCCTTACAGGATACTAAAAGCATCTCTACAGCAGCCTGTACCACCCCATTCAATCACATTATCTATACCATTAATACTCTCCTACCTCCTTCCCCTGAGACATGAAACAGTAATTCTGGGAAGCTGAAGAAGCATAGACATTTTTGTGGCCTCAGGTAAGAAGAATTTATTTTGATTTACAATTTATTAGATTTAAAACTAAAGATCCAGTCTCCCCAAACAGGCAAATTTAGGTGTTTGATAAATTGACAAAGCATGTGCAAATAATCTTTAAAATGTTATGAAAGAAATAAAAAAAATACAGTACTTCTTGATATTTTAGCAGTGATAAAGGGAAGCTACCAGGAACTAGTTTTCTGAGAACATATTCCCTGCACTGTTGCAGAAAGCAGCAGAGCATTTTCACCCTTATCACTTCTTCCTTCACTTATGAATAACCCTCATTTGCAGTCTGATTTTCCTCTTCAACTGACCCAGACCAAAGTATGCACCTGAATGCTTGCCAGGCATCAAGATATACACAGGAATTATCACAGCAATTGAAGCATGCATATAGCCATTAAGGGAAGGAGCACTGTAATATTTTGAAACCAGTACTCATTTTACAAAACAAACCCATTGGTTTTTTCAAGCAAAAACTTCTGGTTTTACAAAATCAGAAGTTATTAAATAGCAATGTCATAAATGTGAAAACATTCATTCATATCTGGATGTCAACGACTGTTACCAAGAGTTAGAATTTGAGAACCACTGTACCTTGTTAATATGTTCATGATGGAACATGCTGCTGCCACTCAAATAAAAAGCAATTCCTTTTCTAGGATAGTGTCAGCTGAAAAATTCTCGACATTGATGCAGATATTCAGGAAAAGATATTAGGGATATTCAAGACAGCTCATAGTTCTGTATCAAAATACAGATGCATCTTCTGCAAACTTTTTTCCTGTATAAATGTAACCCTCCCCCCAACTAACAGAATTTGCTTTTCTGTCCAACGTTTGCAGGATGGTGGGGGGCGGGCTTGGAAATCAATCCTCAACAGTGAATTGGAGTGGCATCATTGTACAAGAAGGAAAAACCTTCTGGCTTTATGACTTGAATTCTATTTATGGTATCCCAAGACATTTGGATTTTTCTAGCCACCGACAAAAAAAAAAAAATGTCAGTGGATTTCAGCTCCTCCTTTAATGGGAAGGCCATCAATAATGCCTCTTCATTATTTTACTTGAAGAAATGGCATTTAACAGCAGCTACACCTCTTCCAAACCAAAGCTAATTAGCTTACACATGGCAGAATACTGAATCTTTTGTCTAAGGTAAGAGGAAACCCAGGATCTTCCTCATTCCGTGTGGCTGTCATGAACAATGTTTTCATAGGTCAGCATTGATGTGATGGGCTAAGTAGGTGACACGGACTCTCAGCATGGGGGCTGACTCCAAAAGGTACTGCATATAGCATCAAGGCTGTTCTGAGTTTCTCACGAAAAGGTTGAAAACCTGTTTCAAGTCAATCTCTAAATGAGAATGGAAACAGCATGCATCAGCTTGCTAATGAATGCATCTGCAGCTGTACAAGTTAATAACCTAGTTCAAGACAGAAGTATTTCTTAGGGTGATATCTTTTATTGGACCAGCTATGTAGTTGGTATAAAGTTATACCAGCTTTTGAATGCAAGCCACCTGAGAAAGAATGGCTTGCACTGGAAAGCTTGTCTAATTTTATTCCACTGCATAGTTCGTCCAATAAAAAAGATCATCCTAAGGAAACCTTGCCTCTCGCATATTGCCTAGACCATCGTGGCTAAAAGAACATGCCTCTTACACTTCCATTAATGAACTAGTACAGTGGTTTTCAACCTTTTTTAATAAGTGTACCCCTGAGAGGGGGTGGCGAGTGACCAGACATGGAATGGAGGCAGGTGGGGGGAAGCAAGCAGCACCAGTGAACTGTCTATGCAGTCCTGCTCTTGCCCTGCCCGGGCCCTTCTCCTGTGAGGCAGCAGCACGGGGTGGTGGCGCTCCGTCTTCACCCGTCCCCACATACCCCCTAGGACCTTTTAAAGTACCACCAGGGGTATGCGTACCCCCAGCTGACAACCCGTGAACTAGCATATTCGGAAATAACCTGTGCGCCATGACCTATACAGGCTGCTTTTTGGGTACAAGATGTTAAAACGTTTTCTTTTAAATCTTCATAGATTAAAAAAAAAAAAATCCTCTCTCTCTAAACAGCTTGGGACCTTCCTACATGAGACAGCCTCTGTTCCACATGTCCCTTGGCTACAACTGCAATTAGCAAACTGTCTTTCTGTATAAGACAGGCTCATAGTAAAACATTCTGCACAAAGGGGCTTCAGCTCCTGAAGAGCTGTTGCAAAACAAGTAATTAATTCAGGGATCCTGGTTTTCTGCGTTTAAAAATTGCAAATTCTTAGATAAAAATATCAACTTATCTGATTTAAAAACTAAAAATCCAAGTTTTTCCATGATTAAAATGAAACGCCACTATATTTATGTATCAATTTAACACGTTTTATTGATATATTTACAATTTTAAAGCAATTTGGAAGCCTACCAGTACCTCAATCCGTATAATAAAGTAAATTCTAAATGCCTGTATATTTTGTCAGTTGATTTTGGTTTTTTTAATCATGGAAAATCAGAGGTCCCCTGGCCACCTTCACTCACTAGGACGTGGGTTCAGCTGTGGCTGTGCCCCCTGCTACTCTGTGGTGCTGAGCAACTCTGATATGCTGGTGCCATATTCCTGCCCCTCACTCCCAAGCCACAGCCCCTCCCCCCAGCCCTGCTGGTGTCCATGACACTCAACACACAGTCCCCCACCCCCGGGCCATGCTGGTACCCATCACTCCCAGCCCTCAGCCCCCCATCCCTGCCAGTGCTCCTCATTGCCGACCCACAAACTCCCCTCTCTGGTTCCCCTCACTCACAAACCACAGCCCCACCAACCTTGCCAGTGCCCCTCACTCCTGACCCGTCCCCCCAGCGCAGCCAAAGGGGGCCCCTAACTGCCCCTTCCCACCCAGGCCAGAGTGCAGTAGCTGCAGCTGCTCCAACTCACGTGGGTGGTGATGAAGCGAGTCCAGGCCTGGCATGGGACGGAGAGAAGAGGAAGAGAGGCCTATAGCACGCTCTCCACCCTGGGCTGGGGCTCCTGCACCACACCAGACAGCCTGCCTCCCACCCCCTCCCCCGGAAAGCATCTCCCAGCTGCCCCACCTTTGCCCAAGAGCATAAGCACCAGCCTTGGTGCCACCGGCCTGGCCACGCAGCTCCCTGCTGCCCCCAAAGAGCCCCTCATTTTCTGCATCGCACACAGAGTAAATTTTCTTTCCACTATAAAATATTTTTCTAGTTTGAGGATAAAACCAAAGGCTCAACTGATAACTTTGGGTTGTGATAGGAAATAAGTGAAAGGGTAAAATTAAAATTATATTATATTTAACAATTGCACCCTGATAATCCAAAGATCTCTTGTTAGAAAGAGGCAGAACATCACTGAATAGAAAAAGGTACATATTTCCAGGCAAATACCTTGGTTTAGTTGCGTGGCCTCTGTAATCTGAATTCCATTCACAGAACACTGTGCTCCATGCAGTGGTATTAGAGTCACTGTCCCGTTGAGATTTTCAAAGATGCAGTGCTCACTTTCCAAATCAAGGCCATGAAGAACTAGAACACCCAAGAGCAAAGAAATATACTTAGTTCCTTAGCAACTAATAAGACCAGCATTTCAAATTTTTATTTATTTAGGGTATATGCCATCTAGCTTTGAGTATTTATTTATTTTTTATCTTGTGAAGTATTATGTCTTTTCCTTCTACCAATATCTTTGAACATCTGATTTACCTTTTAACTGGCTCCACTAGAAGACAAAGGAAGTCGTGCAGGGAAGAGCATGGCTCTCTTTCTTGGATCTTCGTGGATATATTTTAACAAACCTTGATGAGCAGAACATTACACACCATGGTCCCCCTGCTTTAACTGTGGCAGGTAAGGGTGATGTGACTGTGTCAGGGTTGGCTTTATAGTTTTGCTAAGAGATTAGACAATAGACTTGTACAGGATGGTTTGGAGAGTGAATAATCCTGCCTCAGGTTGAGGTTGGACTAGAAAACCTCTGGAGGTCCCTTTCCAGTGGCAGATCCAGAGGGGATGCAGTGGTATGACTGGATCATTCTACAGGAATCTCTGGAGATTTTTTGAAGTCTCCAAAGCAGTTGAGAATCTGCGTTCCCCTCCCCCACACCTCCCCCTCCATGCTCAGAGGCATATATCTTGCCCTCTGTTTCCTTCTCTCCTCCTCTTGCTTGTTTTCCTGCTGTCTCAGAGATGTGGTAAATTTCAGAGTAATTTTTGTCCTTTACAGCCTGGCTGCATGGGTAGTGGGCTCAGCTTGGACAGAGAGCAACAGCAAGGGGGGGGTGAAGTCCCCCCTCCCCAGGCCTGCTCCCAGGGGGACTGGGCAAGTGGCAGAACCCAACCCCCTTACCCATCACCACTGCCACTGTCCTGTCCCATTCCCAACTGAGTTTAGGCCCTGTTTGTGTGTTCCATTCTTCCCCCGCCCCCTCCAGCCAGGCTGAAGTGGGCAAAAGCGACTCTGAAGCTTCCTCCACCCCTGAGACAGCGAAAGCAGCAGGGGCTGGTGGATGGGGGGAGGGGGGAGAGGTAATACAACTCTAGTGATGGGAGGGGGCATTCTTTCCTGCTTTGGGGATTTTGAGAAGTTCCTAGAGGCTCCCCCAATCTGGTCTGCCCACACCACTGGTTGGGAAGAAACTGTTGGGGGGCAAGGCAGGGCTAATAAGATGCAACCATCCCTGCAGTACAGATTGCTGCTCCCACACCCCCTTTTGCCAAACCCTGGATCCACCCCTGTCCCTTCCAACCCAACTTTTCCATGATTTCTTTAAAATTCGGGGCAAAAGATACAATGTGGTCACTGGGATTCCTATTATGGACCATGCATACAACATATACTAAGAGGGTTAGCTCTCATTTGTTCAAACACCAAGAGAATAAACAGGTCGGTACAAACATGCCTAAGTTTCCATCAGTGTAGAGAGTGTTGGTCCAACGTTTACTTTAGGGAAGGCAATAAAATAAAACTGACACACAACAGATTAAGAAAACAATCATCTCCTGACCGCAGCAAGTCGCTACACAAAGGCTATGGACAGAAGTTCATTTGTAGTGCTATAAAGTGCCCATCCCTACCTGCAGTAGCTTTTACTGCAGCTTGGCAGTGGGGTGATGGCAGGGAAGAGAAGGGCAGGGGGACAGCAGGTTTAGAACCTTGCAGTGCTGCATGTAACTGCAAACAATATAGTGCTATAAAATGTCTCACTACAAAGAAGTTCCTCTTTGAAAGCAGGGGTACAGTTTGTAGCCGTACTGGTTTACAGGCAATTTTAAGAACCACATTGGAAGACTCTGTTTGAACTAAGTCCCACCCAATTATGAACATGTAAATCAAGCACTGAAATGCACTTCTCTTCTGTATCTTATTTATTAAAAAATTAATAAAAATGTATACTTATCAACAATATATAAAATTTTCATTAAAGAAGAGGGGAAATTTTAAATATGTAATGTGCTTGGGAGCTGGACATAAGAGGGAATATTAGAAGGATGGATGGATGTGACTAATGCCACAGCTTTCTCACCAATATTCTGCTCTGTTGCAGCATCTTCCCTACCAACATAGGTTTGTCCTTCCTAGATATAAAAAAAAATAGTTAGCTTAACACCACAAAAGAAGGAAAGATCATTTTATTTCACATCCTTAAAGCCAGTATTATGAATTACACAGATGTTTAACCATAGTAGTTGTATAGCTAGTAATATTTTTAGGTTGGTTTATTAGACAATATTATATCAAATTGTTAACCAATTCAAATTTTACTTGTACTGTACAAAACCACCTTGGTAGTTCTTGGGCAATTAATCTATATTTGGATTTCAATTCAAGCTTTACAACAAGATGAATGTAAAACCAATATACTTGGCAGTAATGTCATACATCTATCATTAGTTAAACAGTTGACCCGCAGGATAAACTTAAGCTGAATATTGATTGATATTTTAATTTGAACAAGTTATAGCCTCTTAACAGCTGATGTCACAGTACTGGAGAAATATAATGAACATTTACTATATTTAGATAGCAAATTAATACTTTCATTTAAGTTGTCCATTTAAGAATCATAAGGCAGATAAAGACTATGGAAGCAAAGACGTGTGTTTACCTTCAAGTGATACAAAATGATACCAGTACTGAGAAGATCATCGTCAATGCCAATTAAGTGAGGGAGTTCAGAATCTAAAACAACACCAATTCCTTCTTTTCTAAGAGCTAAGGTTTGTTCCTGCAATGAAAAAAATGAAACTGTATACTTTCTGAAAAAGGCAGACATATGAAATTACTATTCATTCTCTATTTAAAAAGCACTTTTTAATGAATCTGTAAGTTGCATGTTGTACAAAGGACAATAAAAATGCAAGCTATTAAAAATGCTATTTTGCTTTTCAAATGGGAATTTCATGCTTATAGAACTTCATCCAGGAATTCTATAAAGGTGATATTCAGGAATAACTGGAAAAGCAGCTGAATTCCAGAAGATAAGGGAGATTATTTTAAGAACAATATTTGAACATTGGCTGAAAGAAAGAAACATACCACCTTGTGTGTGGTAGGAAGAATTTGGAAATTCATACGGAACTAAGTAAGGATAAGGGACGTAAAAAACTGAGTTCTTTCTGGCCACACTTAAATTAAACTAACTAGCTCAAATAATAAGCCTGAAAAACTAAAAAATCAATGAGCTTAAGTAGTTATAAGTAATCTTCAATGTAACAGAAGTATGGTGTTTCAAATAAACATATCACAGTTGCAGCCATAATTTCAATTCTACAATGTTTGAAAGGGCCAGGATTCCACTGAAGAAAGTGTTGCTTAGTAGACCTGTGCAAAACAC